AACTCACATAACCTGGATTTTCATTGTTTTTAAAATGCAGGTTCTGGAATGATACCCAGCATTCATAACTGTCCTCAGTGTATGACAGCCTTTTTCATGCAGGAGGAAGGGGCTCTGGAAGCCAGCACGTTAATAACTACAGTAGAGCGCGTGAAAAGTCACGCCATGTGGAATAAATAAGTTACAGCTTCATATCGGTTCAAGTCAGATTTTACCACCAAGTGAGTTTGTGCCCAAACACTTAAAAATATTGGTCTCAGGACTTTCTGGCATTCAGAATTGCAGATAAAAAATTGGAGACCTACAAAACAAAGACCTGCACATTAGGATATGAGATTAGTGAAGTAATCAGCCAGAAGCCAGACCATCTAATTCCAACATCAGCAAACTTTCTCTGGAAAGGGCCAGAGAGGAAATAGCTGAGGCTTTGTGAAACTTTTTAGCTCTTCTGCCCATTTTTTGATAGGGTTGTTTACTTTATTTTTGTTGCATTCTCACTATTATATTTTAAATGGATAAAGAGTCAAGAGAGACCAGTTAGAAGTAGTGATTTGGATGTTAAGTAGTAATCTAGTTTTCAGGTGAGAAGGGCTTAGTAGAGGTAAGACGAAGTGGTTGGCTTCGGAGGTCAAGCCAAATGATTTGCTGATGAGGGTATGGATGATGAGGAAAAAGATGGCCTCAAGATCACTCCCCTGAGCAACTGTGGTTTAGATGGTTGACACTGGAGGAGCTGGCCGGGAGTGGAGAATGCTCCCACCGAGAATGTTCTAATCTGGTTGACAACGTCACCCCCAGGCCTGGCTGGGAACCCCAGGCTTTGTTTATGAGTCAAAAGCTATTCACTGTTGGTCATGACTTCAGGATCCCTCTTAGATGAACTCCTAGACAAGCCTGGGAAAAGGGATGGAGTATGTGGGCTGCCTGCCCTCACCCTCCCTTACCAAACTTCTTGGATTCTGTGGAGTATCTGTGGAGCCAGATGCAGTCCCCACTCCCCTCTTCCTTCTGGGCTCAGTTTCCAAAGTTTGTCTGAAAAAGACAAACTCTGTGATGTTGACCCCACTTAGATATGAGGCTCAGGGCCTCCCTGGTGGTGCAAGGGGTTAAGTCTCAGCACTATGAAGCTATCTAAAGCCACTGTAGCATGAGTTTGATCCCAGGCCAGAGAACTGAACCACATGGCACAGCAGACTTCTCCTGTCTCACCTGCTGCTCCCCCCCCCCAGCAGTTATTTCAGTCAATCCACCTGTTCTGCTCCCCACTCTGTTTCTGGTGAGTCCTCACATCCTTCCTCCCCACCCCACTGCACCTCTGGCCTGTACCCCAGTTCTTGTATGCATACATAAATATTTACAAAAAAGAAATGAGTCCCAGCATGGCCAAGTGACTTACCCCAGGCCACACACAGAGGGGGTGGGACTAGGCCCCACAGCTTTCTAATCTGCCCAATGTAAACCTTTATATGACTAGATGCAGAGGGATGTTTTTTCCTACAAGTCACACTCAAATAGTCAACAGATTGATTGTTCTTGTCTTTCTGTGCTTCAGGAATGGGAAATGAAGAAGACCTAAACAGAAGAGAATTTCATCCAAAGGAAATATCAACTTGTCCATCCAAAACAGAAAAGGTTTTTCACAGGGTGACACCAACGGACTGAAAGTAGCCCCCCTCTCCTGGGCATCCAAAAGACCAGCCTTTATTATCTGCATGATTACAGGGGATATGGGGAGGGAAGGAGTGGAATGAAAGAGGGAAATGGAGGGCATCCCTATAACTACAGAGGATGGAAAACGGGGGTGAAGGAAGTCAAAATTTGCACAGTTGTAAAGGTTTTGTTAGATGTCTTAGACATCCCTTCCGAAGAAGTGAAAACACATGTCAGTAAGCCATTCCATCCCATTCACAGCATCTATTCCCAGTTCTTAGGGCAAAGGAAGGTGGTGCTAAGGCATCAACAGTGCAATGTTAAGAGGCAAGACTTGAACATACGATCACACTTGTGCCAGATGGACTCACGTTGGGTATTACTGACAGCTTCTGGGCAAGACAAATAGGCTGAAAAATCAATAGAATTATCCCTGCCTGCATAAAGGTGAACCAAAGAAATCCAGGTGACTGTGTCTTTGTCCTCCTCTTGTACTCAGACACCCACCAAGTCTTCCATCCCTACCTGCAATCAAGTAAAGCAAGTGGTTCCTTTCTGCTAAGCATTATAAAAACCCTGGATACTTTTATAGGGAAGTATAGTCCTGGGCAGTCTCTAGTACCTGAGCCATTCACTACTTTCTAAACACCTGCGCACTTGATAGGTGTTTACTGTGTTTCCTTCCAATAAAGACAAAGCTCTAAGAACTGCAGAAACTCAGGAGCTAGGTCAGGGGAAATTCTAGAATAACCTCTGGGCACTTGGCTAACAGCTTCCCCTACTTAAAGCTTTATTATGTAAGCCTCATCCAAACCTCACTCTCCTATGATGTGAAAAAGATGAAAACTAGACCACAATCAGCCAGGTGGTCAGTGGCAGAGCATAAATCTTACGTAACTGGATTCAGGCAGGACTAGGTTTGAGTAGCTTTTACTACTTACCAGTTGTCTTTGGGAAAGTCACTTGACCTCTGATTTTTGTTTTCCTTACCTGTAAAAACCAGGTTAATCATTGTACTTCCTTCCCAAGACTGTTGGGGAATTTAGTGAGACAATACATGGGAAGCAATGTGCAGTGTATGGGAGATAGGAAATGCTCGATCAATACTGGCTTTTATTACTAGCAAAATGAGAAATATCTGATTCAATTCCTATCTTCTTTCAACAGAAGAAATGGTCTTTCTATGGTAATTACAGCCATCAAAAGCTAAAAGGCAACCAATCTGTTAGTGACATTTCACCCAGATTTCATCTTCAGTGAAAAACTCACATAACCTGGATTTTCATTGTTTTTAAAATGCAGGTTCTGGAATGATACCCAGCATTCATAACTGTCCTCAGTGTATGACAGCCTTTTTTATGCAGTCATTTTGGAAGTTAAGGGTCTTTTCACACCTACAGATTTCACACTCTGAAAGGTAGAACCCTGAGTAATTAATAATCAACATTTATAATTACATTAGCCGGGATCAAGTTCATAGGCATGTAGCCCACGCATAGAGTTCCATGCTGTGTTTAATGCTCTGTTGACCTCTTAATAATTTTTGAACAAAAAAATTATTACATGTTCCCTTTTACCCTTTAAATTATAGTTAGTCATGGCACTAACTAATTACATTTCCAGGCATTATCCCTTTAGTCTTCACTGAAACCCTGTGAGATATATTCTATTATCTTTTTACAGATCAGGAAAAAAAAGTCCAGAGAGGTTAGGTAACTTGCTGAAATTCACAGGAAAGAGTGAAGACATTACAGGAATACAAGGAGTCTGACTCTACAGCCCTTTCTCCTAGCTCGGAGGCTCTATTTCATCCATTTCTTCCACTCCCCTTGCTCGCATTCTAGCACACTAGCACTTAATAAATACATGAATGAGTGGATGCATGTGGATGCATGTTTGTAACACATGTGGTGCAAGTTTGACAGCTAGGGAATCATAGACAAAATGGCTAAAGCATGTTTGCCAGTTCTTGCTTTTTAAAATGCCTGATGGTTTTCCCAAAGTACAGGCACTTGAGGCTGAGGCAGACCTGAAGCTCTGTCTTTCCCTGCACTGCCCCATCTTTGTACTGTCAGAATTTAGAGTCGCTAAGTCACCAGTGGGAGACCAGAGCAGGTTCTCCAGCTCTCTGAGCCTTAACTTTTCTCCTACGTAAAAGGCAATCATAATCATTCCTTAAACTGTGTGGCTTTTCTCCTAAGGCCCAGAGGAAACATGTGGTATTGAGCAAGACCTTGGATAAGATATAAAGATGCAAAACACTCTAACTCTATCCTCATGGACATAAACAAGAAGAACATCTGATCCAAGTAACTGCAAGTCATGTTATGGTAAGATTCAGAATAATGAGGCACACATACCAACTCTTTAAAAACAATTTTTTGGCATTAGGGCCTATCCAGTAATTAGTTCAGCAACTCTCAAGCACCTCCAACCCCAATCATCAGCCCATCTTTACATCCTGTCCGCTTTCCATACTGAGTCCCTCTATAATCCATCCATTTCTATTTCTACTGACACCATCCAACTTTATTAATTCAAAAAAAAATTTGAACACATAACATATGCATCTACTATGTACACCTAGTATTACTCTACCAAATGCCAGAAATGAGAACTGCAAATAAGGCAGAAATCATCATGAAGAACACTCTAGTCGGAGAAGCAAACGATAAAGGTGCAGGACATACCTAAAACAGTTACTTTAGAGGATGGTTACAAAGGTCTCTGTGGCAGTGAGCCCAGAACATAATACGTGCCTCTTGCATGGACCATTCTAACAATTTTTCTATTTCCTTGCATCCCGTCCTTTTATTCCCTCTTACAGCAGTCAAAATGTCCCCCAATCGTGTAAAGGCTTTAATAGGTCCCCACTGCAATCGGACTAAGATTCAAGTTCATTCGAGGAAAAAATTCTCAGCTATGACATTAGGGCACTGTTCCTTGGAAATGAACAAAAATGACTGCCATAACGGTGCTTACATCCCAGCGAGAGGATATGATTTGGCGGCAGAAGAGTAACGGCAGGAGGAGACTGTTTTCAATTTCTCACTTGATCTGGCCCTGCCTCGCCAGGTCTCGCTGGGTTGGGGGGATGCTGATATTTCCCTCCCGTAATCTACGTTCCTCCTCTTTTCATCTACTCCATCTTTAGCTTTCAGTTCGGAAGTTATTTCCTTTGAGGAAATTCCCCAAACTCAACCCTATGGCATTCTAGGCTTCCGCTGCACCGCGTTCCGTAAACACCGCTCATAGTCTGACTTTCATCGCCTTCGCGTTTATTCCAACTTTATCGCCCGAAGTGAGCTCCGACAGGGCACACCCCTTTGTCCCCCGTGGGTTCCTCGCCAAGTACGTCGGCAAGAAGCAGCTCTACGGGCAGAAACCTGTGGGGACCGGAAGTATAAGCCGCCCCGGAAGACTGCACGGGGAGCAGCGCAGCGCGCGAGGACAACCGGAAGTGCGATGGCTCCGTCGGATTGTCGCGGAGGGAACTGCAAAGGTTGCCGGGAAACGTGGTTTTTTAAAGGGATCGTAGCTTGCCCCACCTCCCCACGCTGCCCCTTTGGAGCCAGTGCGCTTGCGCAGCTCCCTTGAGCAGAGGTCGGGAACATGGCCGCGCGGTCCCTGTGGGCGGTCCGGCGGCGGGTGCAGCGCCTCCTGGCCTGGAGTGCCGCCCCTGACGGCAGGTAAACGAGACAGACGGGGGTCAGGGACGAGAGGACCGTACGGGACGAATGCCTGGGCGGGGCGGTTGTGGGTTGGAGAGCGAAAGGACTCACCACGCCTCTGGGCCACGACGACCTGGCGCTCTTGGTCCCATTTTATTGAGAAGGAAACTGAGGCCCACGGCCACGCCTCCTTCCGGGTGGAAGACGGTGGCGAGAGCCTATGTGACGTGCTCACTAGTGGGAACTCTGGAGCTCTGAGCAGCGAAGGATTAGGGATCTAACACCCCCCCCCCCCCGATCCCACTGGGATTCGATTTCGCCAGACTCCCTGCGTGGTTATAACCGGTTTCTTTAACCGGGCATCACTGTACCTGACCAGTGTGAGGGCGTCTAATTTCGTCTCTCTCAAGTGGCCTTTCTGCGTGCCCTAGGGATTCTGAAGCAGCTGTTACTGGTCACTTACCCTGGTTGCAGAACGGCGGGTAGTTCTTTTTATTCCAACATTTAATTGAAACGCCGAGTTTCGGAGAAGTTGAGTAATCCATTCTTGAATAATGGTGTAATCCTGACTGGACAGTAGTCAGGGCTCTAGAATCGCGCTTTCAGTTAGTGAAAAGTGTTATATTCGGGTCGATGCCCTCGTTGACTTAATTCCTGGGAAAGAATAAAATGATAGAGGAGGTGTTGATTAAGTTTGGCGCTCCAGAAGTAAGCCTCTGGAGGAAATCCAGGAATTGTCTTTCGTTGTCTTTTTATTTAACACACCTGACCCAGCATCCCACCTTAGCACCTGCGGGGCGTTGAGCTCAAAGTTTCGGGCCTTGTTTTTTAATAACGGTTGTAATGAAGAGAAGTGACCAGATGAAAAGTGGTTCCTTATGATAAAATTCCCCTTCATTCCAGTTCCGAGCGGTAGAAATTGAAAGGATGGGCCACAGCTCTTTCCAGACTCGGGCTCTGACCATTTTTTCCCTGTGAACAGAATGTTTTGACCTTTCAGTTGGATAGATGCAGTGTGTAAGGGTTTAAGAGAAAGTATTTAATACTGTGTGATTTGCTCCAATCCATATTTTCCAAAGCAGAAATTTGGAATTACAGTTACATTTATAATTTGATACCAGATCGTAGTAATTGAATTCAGAATAGGCCTAAAATATCTGGGAAATAAAAGTTGTCTAGGTCATACCTGTATAGTGACTGTTTCCTCTTCCCTTTCTTGAAACAAACTCCAGTTAAACTTTTGCTCAGATGTTACCTCAAAGACCACTCCTCAGTATGTTACTGTATGTAAATAAACTGTTTTCAAGAGCATTTGTACTCACAGATTGATTTTCTTGATGATTTTATTTAAATCAAATTATGAGGCTTCAACTGGTGTGATGGACACTTCCTTGAACTACATCTTTGATCTACAAACTAGCCTCTATTCTAAATTCCTTTTATGTAAATTGAACTAAATGCCAACATTTTAGCTGTATATAGTTGTAGATTATGAGCATTAATTGAATACAAAAAATCTGTTTTATCAATCTGTTTGTATTACACAGTCCATAGCATGTAAATGAGTTCTCCAGCTTTCTCTAGCACAGGTTCTCTTCCCTAAAAGCCTTACTTAGCGCTTTCAATCAAGAAAGCTTTTGAATTCTGAGCCTAAATCTAGTTTGATAAAGTCACTTTCCTGAGCTTCATTTTCTCCCTCTGTAAAATGAAGTATTGAACCAGAACTGTGCAACTCTGTGTTCTGAATTCCTACTTCTGATAGTCCCCTAGTGGTTAAGGTATTAAATCTTGACTGTCTTTCACAGATTTTTGTGTTCCCTCTTCTGTATGATTGCTTAGCAGAATACATGCCTTGTGGCCTTGTGGTCTTGTGGTCTAAGCAAGTCGTAAACCTCTCTGAGCCTCAGCTTCCTCAGATGTACAATAGGGATGATAACTGTACTTGTTTCACATATTTTAAGATGAAAGGAGCATTAAAAAGGAAAACCCTGGCGGCTGTGTCTTGCACCTAGTAAGTACTATATAAGTGCTTGCATCATTACGATGACTGAAGGCTTGTCTAGAGAGTCAATCTGGAAAACTTTTCCAGTCACTGGACTTCGTTGTAATGTGACTGTTTCTGATGGCATTTCTTCATGATGGAACACCTCCTTCCCACTGTAGAAGAGGGCCGCATCCTTTCAGCACTGCCACTCAGAGAACCACTGGCGAGGACTGCAGTTCCGAGGACCCTCCTGATGAACTTGGACCCTCTCTTGCAGAAAGAGCCTTAAAGCTAAAAGCTGTTAAACTGGAGAAGGAAGTCCAGGATTTAACAGTGAGTAGATTTTATATTAATCTGTTCTTCACATCTGCTCTCTGACTTGAATATCACTTTTAAATTAAGTTTCCTCTAAATGGCTGTTTGCTCTCTACCCTACCTCTATTGTCTTCCTACGTATACCCAGCAAAATAATGTGTAGGAGTTGAAAAACATCACTGACTACAGATAGTCATCTTTCCTGTTCTGTCTTGAATTCCATGTTATACTTCAGTATGTAGATTTCTGATATTTTTAGTAGTTTCAGGGAGATACCATGCCTGGCATGTAGTAGACTCTCAGTATATATGTGTTGAAGGAGTAAGATCATTTATCATTGTACTCTGCTCATCAGACCACATGTGGCACTCTGTACCATGTACTGGAATGACCACCTCTGAGGGAAATAGAGAATTAGAGTGACTCCACCCAGAAAGGTCAGGCAGAGGGAAGGTATGTCTCATGAAAGCAATTAAAAGGGACCATAAAAATGACAGAAAAAAGGGGGCTAAAGTAACTGCCTTCCCATAGGTGGCATTTTTAGAACTTATTCTCGGTTGTCCCAGAATTAATTCACTGAACTGATTTTAGAGGGTGGCAGTGTTGACTGACTGTGAAAAAGAAAGTTTTTTCTCAAGATAATGAGCATGGCAGATGTTAAGTGTTCAAGCTCACAGGCTCAGTGGAAGCCAGTCAGGACTGCTGTCGGGCTTCTGCTCTGACTGTGGATTTGGAGTAGCTGATATAAGATTCCTACACCTAATTTTTTTTTTTTTCTTTACAAAAACCTATTTCAAGGGTGAATTTTGTAAACTAAACTAAAGCCTTCTTTGCTCATCACTTTGACTTTGCTTTTGCTGTTCAGGTGAGATACCAAAGAGCTGTAGCTGATGGTGAAAACATAAGAAGGCGAACCCAGAGATGTGTAGAAGATGCCAAGATATTTGGTGAGAGATTCAGTCACAGTTAAAAAAGTACTTCTTCTTTTAGGCCACTTGGTAGCAGTTTTACAAATTGAATATAGTAAAAATATACCTCTGCCCTTTACCTACCCTTGCTCTGCCCTTCTGCTGTTCCCTTAGGCCTGCGGTGCTGTTTACTAAGTGAACCACATGTTAAAGTAATGCTGGCCTTCAGCATTACTTCATTAATAACCTTCATTATTTTATTGTGCAAGCATGCCCAGTTAACATTCTTATACATACCACTCTGTTTAATTGATTAATGCAATGAATCATTAAGATGTTCAGTGACAAATCCAAATGCAGGCCCGTAGGCAATCAGGAATGATGAAAGCTGCTGTAGAGAAGCAAAATTTGTCTATGTCCATCATGCAATAATAAGCTGTATTTCCATCAGGTGGATTTCACTGCAGTGAACAAGAATCATTTGTATTACACTCCGTATCCTACAACTTTCTACAGTATTAAGTAACTCAAAGGCAGAGGCTTAGATCACATGGAAATAGATAACCCTCAAGATTGTGCAAGATCACGTCTAGTTTTTTATTGATGAAAATCTTTTTGGTGTGTTTCAAAGTCTTTTGGAAATTTTTCTCTATATAAACTACAGTTTGTTCCTTTGTTCCAAATATTTCATGAAAATGTTACTTGGTAAATAGGATATTCAATGGTAAAGGGCAAATCTGATTTCTCACTGTGCTAACAATTTAATATGGTGCATTATACTTTCACTTCCATGGAAAGAAAGTGCTTAAGGGGCCCATGTCCAACTTCCTTTCCCAGATAAGAAGAAAAATTTAATTTGTGATAGATGTAGACTCAAGTGCAGTATCTCCTAGCCTCTGATCTGTTAGTGTTTTTTTGTTTTTTTGTTTTTTTAAGATTATTTATGTATGCAAGACCTGGGGTACAGACAGGCCAGAGATATGGGGAGGGGTGAGAGGATTCACTAGAGATAGAGTGGGGTGCAGAACAGGCAGATCTATTGAAATACACTGCTGAGGAAAGCAGTGGGAAGGACAGGAAAGGTCTGCCATGCTATGTGGGTCACCTCCCTGGCCGGGGATCGAACTTGCTCTTGAAGTAGCTACAGAAAACTTCATTGAACTGTGCTTTATCCCCTTGTTCCACCAGGAAGGGCCCTGATCTGTTAGTCTCTCCCCTGTATCAGAACATCCTGTCCTCTAGATGTTTATCTGCTGTTTGTGCATAAGGGTCACTTCATTCCTTTCTGTGCAACCCCAGTATTTTGGCACAGCCTTCTGCTTTCATTCAGTGCTATGGACATGGTGCTTCAGGCCTAGATAGCACCTAAGTACTGACCCCTAAACTACTGACACTATCCAAATATTAGCTTCTAATTTCCAGCTACCAGGGCAGGGCTCAGCAAACTAGTGCCTGCTGATCACACCTGTTGCCTGTTAGCCCCTAAATGTGGCTCTTAATTTCATCATAAAAAAGTTCATGGACTCTTTTTTTTTTTTCTCATTTGTTATATGAGATCCTTACATGAGATCCTTGATCTTCTATCCCACAAAACCAAAAATATTTGCTATGTGATCTTTTGCAGAAAAAGTTTGCTGACCCCTGAGCTACAAGGGATTTCTGTAGCAAATAGACCCAGTTGTGCTAACTCTAGCTGACTTAGCAGAAATTAAGTTATCTTTAAGTTAGGAAATGTTTTATAGTTCCTGGGAACAAACGTATTAACTAAACTCTAAAAATTTGATGATATCTGCTTTTTAGTCTGTGCCTACAACATACTGTAGAAGTCATTCGCTTCAGACATTTGCTCTTGGTGGGCTGTAATGCTTAGAAAACTGCAGATTGTTCAGTGAGAAGTAAGATGTAGCGTGATGATTACCCTCCATCCAGGGGCAGTCGTGTGTCACTCTCCCTGCTCTTAATAGGTTACAAAGGGCTTTTTGTTTCTTTGTTTTGCCTGAGGGATCACCTCTTGAAGTAAAACAATAGAATGAGAGACAAAACCCCCTACTGCACAGACAAGAGAACCAAGGCTCTGTTGACCCAAATTCATACAACTTTACTGAGTAGGAGCCAGGTCTCTTTGTACCTGGCCTCTCGTTCAAGTCAGCATAGAAGCTTCCACCTTCACAGTTCTAGAGTGTCTTTTCCTTTGAATTGCCTTTGATATCTGGATTGCTCTTTATCCTCTTCATGCTCTTCTCTTGAGTGGAATTCTGATCTTACTGGCCTACTTTCAAGACTTTGGCCGAACTCTCTTCTACTTTTTCCTGATGATCACTTTAATAGCCCTTACTACCATGGCTGCCATCCCTAATGGGGATGAAGGAGCTCTTGTGGAACTTTGAACACACCAAGTCTGGCTCTTGGGAAGTGCATCCTGGACTCCCTCTTCCCTCTCCTTGCTGCCTCTCCTATAGCAGAACACACACTAACATGCCAAGATCCCTTCAGGTGGCTCGCCTATTTCTTCTGACATCTCCCCTTCCTGCTCGTCTGTCATGTCTCCAGTTCCTCACACCCACTGTGTATGTTCTTCGATGAATCTGGATACATTGAACTTGGTTTGCTCAGGAAACTGTGATGTTCTTTATCACTCAGAAGTTAAAGGTAGAATTCCTACCTTTCTGTCATTTATTCCTTCCCAGAAATCTCCAGATGATAGTTCTTTTATTGCTTGACAGTGGGTAGTTTTTACCTCCAAGTGCATTTCAGGTTCCAACTATTGTGTTGTCATTGATGCCTAATGATTTTAGGGATGGGTTTACAGCAGCATTTACCTTTTTTTTTTTTCTTTTGCTGTTTTGCAATTTATTATTTTAGGACTATTTTGGCCTCTTTTTCAGTCAGCTGTCCTGCATGAAGCTATCACACAGACTCATAAAACACTAAGAATTGGCTTGCACCTATAAAGAGATCTGTGAGTTGCAGGGTGGCAATTCCCCACTGCAGCCCTGCCTGGATCAGGCCCTGGTTCAGGTCCTCCTCCCTGTTCTTTTTTTTTTTTTTAATAACAGTTTATTTTTACATCATTTTGTACATTTTTTTTTTCCATCTCAATTGTAATCCCCGCGGGTTTCCCATCACCAAGTCACCCGTGTGCCATCACCATCATCCCGTGCACTTCCCTCCCCACCCTACCCCTTTTTGATCCCATTCCCCACTCCACCCCCGCAAAATGTCTCTGGTATATGGCTGTTCATTATTTTTGTTATTTTCTCGCCTGGTCCATTATACTCCTGCTATGAGTGAAACCATCCAGTATTTTTCTTTCTCTTTCTGGCTTATCTCACTAAACATGATCTTTTTCAGCTCCATCCAAGTCAGCAGGGTTTACTTTTACCTTGTTTACATGACTAAAGAGATAAGTTCTGTTGCCTGCCTCCAGCACATATGTATAGCTGGATGTGTCTTGCTTTCCTGTGCCTACTTCTCTAGTCCTCAAGAATCAATCACTCAATGCCCCTTTACACAGTACTTTTTTTTTTTTAATTATTATTGAACTACCTGCCTCAGGTTGATAATTCATACCTCAGCACCATTAAGACAGGCAGAAATTTTCAAGATGTATATAAGTCAGTACTGAAGGTAAATAACAAAAAAAGAAGCATGTGAAAATGGTCAGGTTTTTGTTTGTTTTTTCCCACCACCATCACTTATATCCGTTTGGTCCTTAAAATGGTCAGGTTTTTAAAGGGCATGTTTCGGAGCCTGTTGTGTATAGTCTTAGCGAGTTCCTGGGTTCTAAGTATCTTCCCCATTTCCTACTAAGCTTCCCAGTCATATACTCCTTCCAAGGGAAACACTGGCTCATAAGTCAGGTTGGGAGGGTCATCAAGTCCTTTGCAGCAGTCTTTCCATTTTCTGGGCACCCAATACATTAGCCACCTCTCCTGATCTCCCCAAACTCCACCTCCCAGGTCAAAGTGATCGCCTCACAAACAATAAATGTCTGGTTTTCATAGGAATTCAAAGTTTCTGTAAGGACCTGGTGGAGGTGGCAGACATTTTGGAGAAGACGACAGAGTGCATTTCTGAAGAAGCAGAGCCTGGGGATCAGAAGCTCACTCTGGAGAAGATCTTCCGAGGGTTGTCACTTTTAGAGGCAAAGCTGAAAAATGTGTTTGCTAAGCATGGCCTGGAGAAGATGACACCCATCGGTGACAAATATGACCCTCATGAGCATGAACTCATTTGTCATGTGCCTGCTGGTGTTGGGGTGCAGCCTGGCACTGTAGCCTTAGTCAGGCAAGATGGCTACAAGCTACACGGCCGCACCATCAGACTCGCTCGGGTGGAGGTGGCAGTGGAGTCTCCGAGAAGACTCTGAGGGCCCGCGGGGACTGCGCGCTTGCCCAGCGTGCGCTCACCTGTTTCCTTTATTTATTAAGCTTGGTTTGTATTGTACATGAGCTACTTCATGTGATCTGGTTTGGATTTAGTCATATTGGCTTTATTTCTGGCTACTCTGTTGATTTCACATGACCTGTTCGGTCTCATCAGAATCCTTGCCCTTGGGCATTTGAACAATGTGACAAGTGTTTGTATGATCTTTATCAGAATATGTTTAGGAAAATTGTTTTAATTTGATACTCTGATCACGTTCAATCCAAAATCTTCTTAAAAGATAAAGACGAGTATAGGTTTATATATTTCCAAATGATTGTTCTACTCTAATATCCTTATCATGGTTTGTTAGGATCTTACATCTTGTGGGTAAAGGAGATGATAAGGATTGGTTCAACATTTGTGTACTTAGATGGTAAAACTTTGTAATTGTATGGATTTAGATCATTTGGGTTGATTTTTATGGATTTTGGGGGCTTTTTCTCTTCAGCACTCATTTGTCCTCATAGGCCCTGCCAGGCACATGGCTTAGTCCTCATCGAGCCTTTCTGGCTCCATTTACAAAAACTGCAGGCCCAGGCTAGACTTGGGAGGCGGGGAACATCGAAACATTGGAACTGCCCAGGGGCCTGCGAGGGATGGTGACCAGCAAGCCTTGTGCTTTCCTTGCTGTGTCTCACTGCTCTTGGCCTCCCTGGGAGATGAGGCGGTGGGAGCAGCTTATTTTATATAAAGTGTTTCATATTGTTACCTACAGTTTTTCTTTCATGGGCCCTAAAATCTAGTTTGTCTTGTGATCCTTTACCTATTAATTAGATAGATAAAGGGGAAATGGTCAAGACAAAAATGTTAGGTTCCCACCATTTCTCATTTCATTGAGTTGTGTTGATTTTCTTTCATCCTTTCTCACAAGTCACTACCTCTGTCACATTGACAAACTTCAGTTCCTAGTTATTACATCATGGTGTGAACATCTCACTCCCCTTTCTATATTTACCTGGTGTCATTAAGCCTACGTGTTTCTGAATTTTTCAGTATTGCTTATAACTAGTAGTTTATTCAATAAATGGATACGCAAATAAATTAACCAGACTGTAGAAAGGAGATCAGTTGTTGATAGCTTAATGTTAGAAGGGGCCTAAATGACAATCTAATCTTTCCAGCCAGCTGCTCCTGAAGTATGAAAATGTAGTGCTTTTAGAAATGGACTCAAGGGAAAAGAACAATCTCTAAAACTAGTGAGCTAAACTTCAGTGGGAACTTAAATAAGCAACAGCTAGATACTAACATCAGTCATGGAAGTGTCAACAGTTCTTTACTAAACGTGCAGTTATGTTCCCAGCAGACAATTGTGTGTTAGAAGTGCAGGTTGCATAGGTTTAAGTTTTAATTAGTCACCATTAAGGTAAGTCCATGTCTCCTAGCACTAAGTCGACCCCAGTGCAGTGGAGTGGTAAAAGTTACCGTAAATGTCTTATGAAGTCTGGGAATCTGCACAGACATGTGTCAGTAAAACATCCGCCAGTGGGCTGTACCACCTCCACCACATTTAGACACTTAAAAAAAATAACATCTTTTTAAAATGCAGAAAACGGGTCACATCCAGAATCTCTTGGCATTCCATTGAGCACATACTGTGATTTAATGGCAATCAGATTTCACAATAGGAATTTGTCTTTTTTGCCCCCTTTTTTTTTTTTTTTTGAGCCTGAACCATCATTTTCGGTATGGAATGTTCTGTACTTGAGTTTTCTAATACTCCTTGCAACTTCCTCTCTTAGCAGGTATAATGAGAATAATTACAGATTTCTTCACTAGTTTTATAGACTTTAATGTATAGACATTGAAAATGGACACTTACAGTATGAGTCACCAAACGTTGAAGGGCTTTGGGGAGCCCCGGCAGCATAACCAGGCAGAGGCTTGAACACGAACCCCACCAGAGATGCCTAATCTGGGGCATCTGAGTCTGCTTCTTGTTTGGAAAAAGATTGTAATTATTGTCACAATAGTGTAAGGCTCAAATGTAAATTGCCTACTACAGTACATGCGCAAATATTTTTATTTCTTTTCATCTACACATTTCCCCCCCGTTTTTGTAATCGACTAAAGTCTAGGGAAAATGGGAAAACTAAGAGCCACTCCACTATTCAAAAAACTATAAACATTATTAGTCAGAGGGACTTTCCTCCCAGCTCTAGTTATTTTTTGGCTGGTTTGTCTTTTAAACATTGCACAGGAAATTCGTCTTTTTACACTAACAGAGCAAGGAGATTCTCTTCATTATTTTCATCTTGATGAAAAAATGAACAGACACTGTTGACATACATGTGATATGTAAGGAAGCTCCGGCTCATTCGAAGAAGGGATTTTGGAGGATATTTGACTTCTGCAAATCTTTTACAGATTTTCCTCGCTACCATAAAAGGAATTCAGTTTGATACGTGAGTTACTTGGTGCTTTTTCACAGCAAGGGACTTGATAAATGAAGAAAACTTCCAAAGCAAAAGTAGAATTGCAAAGGAAGGATGAACTATTGAGAAATAACTAATAAAGCCCAAGTTGAGATCACTGGGGTTCACGTGTTTGGTTTCTGTCTGCCTAGCTCACGTTTGACGTGATGACTGTGAGGGCTGCTGGGCCACCCCTGTGACCTTCTGGAAGATTGCAAGTGCTGAGGTCGCACTTGATCAGCGGGGGGAGTGCAGACACTACACACCCTGCCTCAGATGTAGTCTTACTTTTCTGCCTTGCTCACTTGTCTCTGACACCTATGTATTTCCTCGCTCTGGACTCCTGTTGGCTACGTTCCTGTCTGGCATTGCCTCATTGTCTGTGTTTTCATCTTGGTTATAATTCTGTTTTCTGCCTCACTGCAGCTGCTGCCCTCCTGATCAGTCTCATCCAGATTACTGGCACGGGGCTTTGTTTTGACTTGCGGCTTCCATGAGTCCTTCGACTGGCTGTCCTGGCTTACCTTGGCTACTCCAGGCTTGCATGCACCCAGCCGCCTCCTAGCTGTTTGCCCTCTCTGTCCTTGTTTTTACATCATGCTCTGAATCTTGTCCGCTGCCCCTAGCTCCATAAGCCATTTCTTCCCATATACCCAGTCTGGTAGGTAAGTTGATTCATTTTCTGTTCACTCAGACTTCATATTTTCAAGTCATTGTGGGAATCAGGCTTTGTGATTGACCAATAGGATATAGTAGACGTGGCACTGTCAGTTTCTGAGCCTGAACATTAAACTGGCAGCCTCACATTCTGTCTTCAAATGTTCATTGTTGGAATCCACTCATGTAGCTCAAACTAAAGAGCCTCAGAGTGAAACTAAAGGCCCCAGTGGCACTTTTTAACTTCATAGCACCACTTCCATGGACCACTTTGGAAGCAGATTTGACAGCCTGCCTGAAACCACATGGCCCAGAGGTGAGCCCTCCGCAGATGCAGGCTGAGCACCTGCATCTGGGGAGCACACTTAAATAGCAGCCTTGCACTCACTGGCCTTAGTTTTGCACTTTAGCCACCAGAAGTATGCCCTCTTGTGTTTCTTCTTCCAGCTCTTCTAAACTTGCAAGTCAAAATTTACTATCTACATAAAAACTACAAGAATCAGATTAAGTCAGCATGTAAGACTGGCATAAAGTGAGCCATGAGTGCTTGTTTTATTTTGTGAAAATTGTTAAGTACTAAATCTTCCTAAGTCAACTTCAAGTATTTTGCATTCTGACACACTGCCCCAATTTTTTAAGATTTTGAGAAATGCATGTTTATTCACCAACCCTTTCCTAGTTGGCTGTTTTAAATTAAAACGAAGGACCCCAGTTATGTGCTGTTCTCCGACCTCTTCATTTGCTTCTCTTAGCCATAATCTTCCTTGACTGAATATGGATTTTGCCTATTTACCCCGAAACTCGTCCTCAACCTTCTTTTCTGCCAAAAGGGGAAAAAAAAGTGATTGTGTGGTCATTTTCCCTGTACAGAGTTGTGTCTTTACTCCCCTCTGAGAAAAGTGTGTGAAACTCCTCTGCCTTGAAAACCGTGCAGACTGCCATGGCGTCTGTAACAGCAGTCTGGCGAGCCGCTGGCCTCCGCAAACGCAGAGGGGAGTTAGGCTGCCAGCGCTGTCTGCGGGCTCGGTCAGCAATTTCCCTAACTTGCAGCCCAGCCAAGCGAATCCACCTCCCTCATCCCACCCCTCGAAAGGGAGGACCGGGTAACTGAATGAGCCGCGGAGGAAGGCACGCTGAAACCCTGAGGTTGAACTTGAACGAGATCTACCAAGCTTGGTTCCTCCTCCGCATCCTGCCGCGGGGTCGGGGTCCGGGTCCGGGTCCTGATACTGGGCTCTGAGCGCCCACACCTGCGCGGAGCAGAAGGCGCCAGCCAGTGAGGCGGCCGCATCCTGGGCGAGCTGGGGAGCAGCCTACGCCGGAGCGTGCCCCGAGAGGGCGGCAGCCAATGAGAGCCTCACCCCGGGGAGGGGCGGCAGCGGGCCCAATGAGAGGCTGGAAGCGCCAGGGGCGGGAGGGCTGCACGGCCAGTGGGGCGCTGGGGCGGGGCGGCGCGCCCAGCGCCCACCGCCAGCGCCGGAGCCCGGCTGGAGCCCGGCTAGAGCCCGCTCTCCGCTCGCCATGGCACGCGCCGCCCCGCTCCTCGCCGCGCTGGCCGCGCTCCTGGCCGCCGCGACCGGCGGAGACGTCCGGCCCAACAGAATCGGTGCGGGAAGGACAGAGTGGGGCGCGGAGCTGGGGAGGCTGGGAGAGAAGCGGGTTTGCCTCCGGGATCGGCCGCTTGCGGCCAGGGGCAGCTGCGCGACAGAGGGGCCCGGGAGGAGAGCTGGGGGCGAGGCCGGTGCTGTCGGGGTGGGCGGCTTGCGCTCTGGTCCAGTGCGACCCGGAACTCAAAGCGGCTGGGCAGGACTGGCCACGATGTCACAGAAGGCCCAGGGTCTCCAGCATCCGGACCCGGCTCTTTGCCAGGCGCCCTGATGTCATCCACGGGTTTGCTGAGGGTGGTCTGTGCAGCGGGCGCAGTGCCCCTCCCCTTCTGCAGGACACCGCACAAGCAGGGACTAGCGCTAGTGCCCAGGCTGAGAAAGCACCTGAATGCACGTTCTCAGGTTGCCCCATCCGCGGGCTCTGGGCGAACTTCCCAGAAGGAACATCCTAGCCCAGACCTTGGGGTGAGCAGGACCCTTGCTAAGCCCACCGGGGTGGGATTTCCCCTTTTAACAGAATTCATCGTGTTTTTTAATGCAGTATTTTATTTTGAATGTGTTCAAACACACCAAAGTTGAATGATAGAGCGATCATCGGTCTGTCCACACCCTAGTTCTTCCACTAGCAAACTGCTCCTGTACTTGCTTTATTACACTTGCCAACATCCATTCATCCAGCTCATATTTGTGCATTTCAAATTGCAGATAGCAGGACATGGCTGAATACTTTACTGTGCATGTCTCTGGCTAGCATTCCATTTTTGCTTATATTTTCCTTTTAATTGTCATTTTAACTCTGAATGACTCATGGCCTTCGTATGGAAATTCTCATCTGCAGAGATGCTACTCTTCTGGTGTGTGGGAGGAGTCCTTACTCCATGAGGTGGGCCTCTGAACACCCTAGTGGGTAGGGAAGAATGCCCTGAGGGAGCACTCAGACTTCACTGGGACCAGTGTTGCCTGAAGGCTTCCAAAACCAACCTTCCAGAAATCGGTTTGATACAGACTTTAGGGTTTTCAGAAGAAAGAGAATCCTGAATTCCCCACTAGAGTGGCCAAAGAAGGCCTGTGGAGAAGGTGGGTATGGAAGGATGGGGAAGGGTTGAGCACGGGGTGTGTGGCAATGCAGGGCACTGCCCACTGCCCCTTGGGGGAGCAGCATGATGCCCTCAGCAGAATTTCTGGACTTGCAGTTTGCTGCATGCTTCATTTCAGCTGGCCCTGCCCACCCTACCCCAGGTTTCATCCGGCCAGGACATTTGGTCAGGTCAGGCTGCTGTGGCTCTCCTGAGGCAGGAGCCTTTGCCCGCCCTCAGTGGTCTAGACTCTACCCACAGTGAGAATGAGGAGCTGCCTTACAGGAGGACTGGCCCTCAGGTGGCTGCAGAAGCGCTAGGTATACTTTGGCGTGGCACAGGGCCCTCTAAACTGGGCCCCATAATCCCACACATCTCAGTAGAGCAAGTGTTTCTGCTCACCGAGTCTGGATCAAAACCTCGTTTCCCCCAAACCCCCAATCCTCCGGTGGGGTTCATTGCTTCCCCTCAGAGCTCCCAAGAGTGCTGTTGTTGAACTGGGTCCTGGTGTGTGCCTGAGCCAGTTGTGCCTGAGTGGGTGTGCCCCATCCTGCTAGCGTTCAGGGGGAACAGAAGCCCCATTTGTTTCATCCCACGCCCCAGCACATCTTACCATGGACTAGCGTGAGTGCCAGGTAATGACTGTTCAGTGAGTTGGTTCTGTAGCCCTTGGGCAGCTTCTAGACCTTATCCTACCACTTTCTTGGGACAAAAATGGAAGGAGGGGACACTTCAATTTAAAAAGGTAAAGGGCATTCCTGGAAGTGATCTGTTCCTTCTACATGCAGCAAATGCTTAATGTGTTTATTTGGCCGCCTACCAAATGTGGGGGATTTAGCAACCTTCTATGTCTTTCAACAGACCACGTGAGTGTCTTTTGCCAGCTCTAGGCTAGGGGATGGAGAGTGCCTTGCTAGAATACGTGGGAGGGATGCCCAGCTCGTCTTAGCTACAAAGGGCAAGCCAAGCTGAAAATGACATCACGGGCCGTAGCCCTCAGCAGGGCACATGCGACAACATTTCTGATGAAGGGAGCGGCACAGGCATGAGGACAGAGTCTCATGATGCACCCAACAACTGTCAAGACAGACAGGAAGGGAGAGCCTGGCGCAGGCGGTCTGGAGATGGAGGAGTAGGAGAAGGCCCGGCCATAAAGACCTTGTATTTCTGCCTTCTTGACAGCCACTGGCAATCTTAGGGCCCAGAGTGGATCAGTAAGGACAAATCACACCAGACTTACTTTTGTCAAATATGAGGAAAACTGTCAGATACATGATCGGCAAAAATTGTGGTCGCATTAGTAGTCTTTTAGCTTCACACTGTCTGCCAATGTTCCCCGGAAGCACCTCGGAAGATTTTTATCAGTGACTCAAGTGACACACTGATGGCTTACAAGCCCAGTCTGCAAATAACAGGAAAGCAAACGGTACAGAAAAGAGGGTGCTAAGATCTCAGGAGGCCAAGTGAGAAGGGTTTGCCCTACCTGTTGTGGGCACATTCCAGGCTTGGCAGACACAGAGATGGAAATGACTGAAGTGGCTGGTGGCAGGTTGCACTAGACCAGTAGTTGGCTGACGTCTTTAGGAAAGGGCCAGAGTAAGTATTTTGGCTTTGCAGGCTGTACAAGCACTATTGCAACTATCCCTGCCTGGCATGAAGGCAGCAAACTAAGGAACGGGCGTGGTTTCTGCATTCTGATAAAACTGTATTTGCAGGGAAAGGTATTACCTAGATTGCCCCGGGAGCTGTAGTTCCCTGGTCCCACATTAGGGGGCTCCACCCAACAGAATCCACCTGGAACCACCGATTCGTAGTGAAATAAGGACAATAGAATGCAATTCAGCGCTTTGAATTTATCCTCGTTAGATGATCAGCCTGAATTTTTGAGATTCTCTCCTACCCTTGCCACCAACGTCTAGCAGATGAGGGCTGCAGTAGGCGACAGGTCTGAGGTGGTCCTTTGTTCTTTATTAATAGCGTTCGAAAGAACTAGCCGGTGGATTTCCATTTGGAAGGTAACAAGCATATGAGATGCAAGTGCTGGGAGCCTGGGCTCAGGAGCTGACTCAGCCTCTCACACATGTGTTCTGTCTCTCTCCCTGCCTACCTCCCGGTCTGCTGCCAGCGGTGGTTGGGGCTGGAATCGGGGGCTCTGCCGTGGCCCATTTTCTCCAGCAGCACTTCGGCCCCCAGGTGCAGATCGACGTATATGAGAAGGGGACAGTGGGTGGCCGCCTGGCCACCATCTCGGTCAACAAGCAGCACTACGAGAGCGGGGCCGCCTCCTTCCACTCCCTCAGCCTGCACATGCAGAACTTCGTCAAGCAGCTGGGTGAGTGCCTGTGGGGGGCTCTGTGTCCACAGTGCCACAGGGCTGGCGGCCACCAGGAGGCCCTTCCCAGATTGTCCTAAGGGACAAGGCTGGAAGGTCATAGAGCCTCATCTCCTCATTTTACAGATGGAGCAGCTGAGACCAGAGAGGGGAAGGAGCTTTCCTGAGGTTACACAATGAGTTAGTTGCAGAGCCGGGATTAGCACTCAGGTTTGACTCCCAAGCCAGTTGCTTTTCCTTTCTCTTTGCTGCCTCTTAATTTTAGTCCCAATAGCTCCACATGCTGTGTGCTTGCGAAGTCCCTGGCACGTTTGTAGGTAGTATGCAGACATTGCCTCTGGTCTTCCCCAGCAGCCTGCAAGATGGGTATTCTGTCTCCTCCTGGGGAAACTGAGGCTCAGAAAGTTTGGTCTTCTGAGGCTAGGAGCATTTGAGAGAGCAGTGGTTCAACGCCAGCAACATCTGTCAAAACCATATACATGTCTACAGTGTGACACAGACCTGGCCCTTCCTAGAAGCGCCCCCTCAGGGTATCAGCACATGGGCAGGACGGCAGACGTGCAGGCTTATTCCGACGACACCTGCCTGGGACCTGAGGGACCGGAGGTGAAGTCCATTTTAGTGTAAGTTACACAGCTCAGTGGCAGAATGAGGAACTCTGCCCAGGTGTGGAACAGCTGCCGATGCCAGTACGTCAGCAAGGTGCTGACAGTATACAGATGTGGGGCTGGGGAACAAATCACACATGTGGAGGCATTTGTGAGAACTGGCACTGGCACCAAATAGCTCTGGACGGGTACAGAAGGGGTGGACGTCACTGGCCGCCCTAGGCGAGCGGGACATTATAACGCGGCAACAGGAATCTGAGGGAAAGAAGCAGAGACCAGTGATTTGGGGCACGTCCTCTAGCGTCTACGCCTCAGTTTCCACATGTAGCTAGAGTGGTGACACCTGTCGGCCCGGACGGGGAGAGGATGAAGCCCCAAGCCCTGTGGTGCAGCTACTGGTCAGCTGTACTGAGCTGCGGCTCGGATGACCAGGTCTTCCTGCGCTGTTCTGCCTTTCCCATTGTTGGAAAACAAAATGTAAAATGGTGCGTTGTTTTTCATTTCGTCATTGAGTAGCAAAGCCAGCCGTTTCCCCAGGGCTTTTGTTCACCATAATTCAGCTGCACTGCTGAACAATCCTTAGTGTCTATATTTCCTTTAATGAACTAGTCCATTTGCCTCCTTTGCAAGGCCCTGGGCTTCAGCTGTTGGTACTGCCGGCCTCCTGGAGACCCCTTGGAAGGGGCCCTGAGGCTCCCCTTTGTCTCCTCAGGGCTGAGACACCGGCGAGAGGTGGTCGGCAGGAGCGCCATCTTTGGTGGGGAGCATTTCGTGCTGGAGGAGACCGACTGGTACCTGCTGAACCTCTTCCGTCTCTGGTGGCACTATGGCATCAGCTTCCTGAGACTGCAGATGTGGGTGGAGGAGGTCATGGAGAAGTTCATGAGGTAGGGCTGGGCAGAGCTGTGGGAAGGCCTTCCAAAGCGGGAGAGGAAAGAGGCTCTGGAGGAGCTGGCTTGACTGTATACATTGTCCAGGAGGAAAAGATGCTTGATGGGTGTGAGAACCTAGCCCTGGAGCCCCCAGTGAGAGGAATGTGCCACTGTCACGGGGGAGGGGGGGAGTCTCTGCTATGGTCTCACGAGCCTTCTCTTTCCCTCTGCTAAGTCAGTCAATTAAAGTGTGGTTTGCAAACTCGGGTACCTCCGAGGACTGGCCTGAAGTCTGAAGGAATGAAGCAGCAGGTGGGAGAAAGAGGGAGCTGTGGGTAGGGGGTACCCTGAAGAGCAAGGTGCCATCCAAAGGGGGCCATCCAACCTTGACTGTGTGGGACAGTTTACCTCAGGGGACTGACTCTTCCAGTTTCTCAGAGGAATCTGGAAATCCAGAGGTGAAACCTCCCAGTTTCCCAATAGAGGCAGTTGACTATTCTCATAAGCCACGTATGACGGGTGTGTAGGCCTCACACAGCCCTTAGACCCGTCATCTACAAATTCCACTGTCCCCTCTCCAGCTTTCCCATCCAGAACACTTTCTTCAGCACTCCTGTCCTCTTGGGGTCCCATCACCAGATATAAGGGTCCGTTGTCACGCTGCCCACTCACTCTGCACGGGCACTCCAGACCCCCCACCGCCCTCACTAGGCCCTCCTGCCCCTGGCCCCAGCACAGACACGTGGTGCCAGATACTGAGAGAGCTGCTGCTTCCTTTCTACTCTGGGCGTCTCCATTCTTCCCTCTCCTAGTGGGGTCGTCTTTATTCACGGTTTGCCAGCTTGTGGTTATGTATGTCCTTACCTCCTTCTGTTTTTCTACCTTGTCGTTTTTATCAATATCCAAGCCTACAACGTCAAGTTCTCCCTTTTGTGGGAAATGATACCTTCCTTCCAGCCCTGATTTCCTCAATGTTTCCCCACATTTCTAAGACCCCCTCCACCTGAGTGTCCCATGGGTAACCAGCCCCACGTGTTCACAGCAGCCCAAGCACAGGCAGTGTTTCAAAGCCAGTCCCTCCAGAAATCCACCCTCAAATAGTCGCAGGCAAACACCAGTCCCTGGTAGTCGGGGGGGGTGGGGGGGTACTGCAAGGGACAAGGTAAGGCGGAGAGTGAGATCCCCTTGATTCAGCCTGAGAGGGACAGTGACAATGCTGGCCTGAGCCTGCTGCCAGCAGGGGCAAGGAGATCCTGAAAGATGGCAGAAACTTGGAGTAGGGGTGGCAGCAGGCAGGCTGGGTGAGAAGAGGCCTGTGACCCCAGGCATGGAGTAGCTCAGAGGTGACATAATTATTCAGCAGTCTCCACATGAAGCCAGGTTTAGGGAGAGTCTTTGCCTCCACGTTCCCCCTCTGTATGGAGAAGAAGGCGGGCCCCCAGGGCTCTGACGCAGTAGCAGAGACTTGGCCTATGGGCCTTTCTGCACAAGGGCTCCATCCCTGCATGTCACCCAGGATCTACAAGTACCAGGCCCACGGTTACGCCTTTTCGGGCGTAGAGGAGCTGCTCTACTCGCTGGGGGAGTCTGCCTTCGTCAACATGACCCAGCGCTCCGTGGCCGAGTCCCTGCTCCAAGTGGGCGTCACGCAGCGCTTCATCGACGATGTGGTCTCCGCCGTCCTGCGCGCCAGCTACGGCCAGTCAGCAGCGATGCCTGCCTTTGCTGGTGAGCCCCCCTCCCTGCCCGCCCAGGCCCCACAGCAGACGGACCACACATGCACGCACAGTGTCCTGCTTCTTCCTGGGGCCTGAGCCCTGCGCTGCCCCAGCCCGTTTGAGTCTGGCATCCATTCCCCAGACTGGCAGGGGGTGGTCTTCATCCCACGTCACAGACGGTCAGCGTGAGGCTCAGATCTCAGCCCCGATTGTCTCTACCATTCCTCACTAGACTGGTTTCAGGAACTGCCCCTTTGGCCTCTGGGCTTCTGGGTATCCTAAACATCCCCCTAATCTTACCAGGCCAGTCGGAGCACACACACACCCCCATTCTCCAACACAAACCACAGTCGGCTCTGACTCAGTGCACCCAGGAGGATCGTGGTGTCCAGTTCCCCATGGCATGGCAGCTGTTTGGGCTTTGAAAGATGTGGCAGGATCTGGCCAGCTGGTGAGGGGTCATCTGCATGGGCCTTGCCAGCCTCCCCTCCCAGCCCCCTTGGCCGGCTCCTCCTTTTCTCCCAGGCCGTGTCCTCTACCTGATTCCCTTCTCAACTACTCGGGCTCTTGTGTGGCCTGCACCCCCCGACTCCCAGACACAACCTCCAGCCCAGACCTGTCCCCAGAACTGCAGGTTTCCATGTGCACCGCCGCTCCTGTAGCTCCCCGGGATCTCTCCCAGGCCTCTCAGACGCAGCGCGTCCCAACCTGAGCTCCCAGCCTGTCCCTCGGGCCCGCCCCTGCCATGTCCTCCCAGCGGGTAAAAAGGCCTTTCTGGTGCTCTGGTCAGACTGTGACTCAGTCTGCTCCCCACCACTGCCTCCTTCCTCCCTGGTCTGAGCCACAATGTCCCTATGCCGTCCCCTCCCAGGTCTTCCACCCCACATCAGCCAGATGAACCCCAGTCCTGTGCAAAACTCTGTCATGGCTTCCATTTTCTCTAAGTAAAATACAAAGTCCACCCAGAGGTCTAGGCCCCCCTCCACCTCCGGGCTTGTTCACCCCAATCTGTGTCTCCAGTTTCCAGGTGCTCCTACCTTGGGGCTTGTCCCTTAAAGACAGTCCCTGTAAACTGGCTCCCCATTGTCTTTGTGCTGTGTCCCAAACCTTAGAATAGTGCCTGGGCCGCTGTAGACACTCAGCTCATTGTGGAGTAAATGAATGAAAGGTTTGGCATAATAAGCACCACCCACATGCAGGGCCAGCTGTTCCACTGGCTCCTTCCCAGCCTCAGGTCCTGTCCCTTGTCCCCTCGAGAGACATGCTCACTCTTCCAGAGGGCTAACTGCCATACCTGCAGGTCCCTTGTTTCCAGCACGTGGGTGGTTTTGAGTGTGCCTGGCCTAGCACATCCGGCACCACAAGCAATTTCGGAAACTTCACCCACCACCTCCCCAGCCTTCTAGGCCACCACGCTGTGCTTTGTGTTTCTGTGCATTTGCCCACTCTGGGCTGTCTGATGCAGGGCCACACAGTCCGTGGGCTTTGCGGCTGGCTCTTGCCTGTATCCAGCATGCTTTTTCTCTGTAGCATTTTGGACTTGGCTGCACTTACCTGTGCGTGTGCTATGTCTGTGCCTGTGGTTGGGAGGAGGCTGAGCCTGGGAGGCGGCCCAGGTGGTGTTTCTGGGAGCCCACCTGCCACCCTCTCCACTTTGCCCAGGAGCCATGTCACTAGCTGGGGCCCAGGGCAGCCTGTGGTCTGTGGAAGGAGGCAACAAGCTGGTATGTTCCGGCCTGCTGAGGCTCACCAAGGCCAACGTGATCCACGCTACAGTGACTTCCGTGACCCTGCACAGTAAAGGTGAGTGACAGAGCATGGAGGTGGCCACTGCCCTCCTAAACAACACACATTTCTGCCTCTTCTGTCCCGGGTCTATCATATGTAGACACTCAATCCTAAAAATCCACTGGGAAGCCCCAGTACTGCTGAGTGGCACCAGGGGGCACTGTTGTCCCGAGTCAGAAGTCAGAGCCCTGAAGCTTCAGTCTAGCACCCACCTATCAATGATCCCTTGAGCTCAGAGCAGCTGCCTCAAGCACTCCCCAAGCTCATCCGCCACAGAGCCAGAGCTTAGGCCGGCCCCCAGCCCAGTGCCCCGCTGCGGGCACACCAGCCTGGAGAGACCGCAGGGTCACTTTGTACCCTCAGTGCTAGAACCCGGATGGGAAATTGGCAGGTGGAAGCCAAGAAATAAGCTGACTTTTGTTCTTTCTTCTTTCTCCTTCCAGAAGGGAAAGCCTTGTACCAAGTAGGGTATGAGAGTGAGAGGGGCAGCGGGTCCGACTTCTACGACATAGTGGTGATCGCAGCGCCCCTGCCCCTGCACAACGGCGGCAGCACCATCGCCTTCGAAGGCTTCGACCCGCCCATTGCTGTTGCCCAGGGCTCCTTCCAGCCCACGGTGGTCTCCTTGGTCCACGGCTACCTCAACTCCTCCTACTTCGGTTTCCCCGACCCGAAACTTTTCCCGTTTGCCAGCATCCTCACCACAGATTTCCCCAACTTCTTCTGTGCGCTGGACAACATTTGTCCCGTCAATATCTCAGGCAGCTTCCGGCGCAAACAGCCTCAGGAGGCAGCCGTCTGGCGAGTCCAATCCCCCAAGCCCCTCTCGCGGACCCAGCTGAAGACCCTCTTTCGTTCCTATTACTCAGTCCAGACGGCCGAATGGCAGGCCCACCCACTCTACGGTTCCCATGCCACCCTCCCTCGTTTCGAGCTCCATGACCAGCTCTTCTACCTCAGTGCCCTGGAGTGGGCAGCCAGCTCCGTGGAGGTGATGACCGTCGCGGCCAAGAACGTGGCCTTGCTGGCTTTCAACCGCTGGTACCAGGACCTAGACAAGATCGACCAAAAGGATCTGATACACACGGTGAAGACTGAACTGTGAGGGTTCCGGGAGGGCCTAGAATCCTCCCAAGCTCCTCAGCTCCCCTGGAAGACAGATCACCCACCGCAGTCAAGGTTGGGCAAGTCACACACAGCCCCCCCAACCTCTTACCCCTGTGTGTGGAGTGTGCTGTGTCCTCTCTCTAGGGATCAAGGTGGCAACTCTCTGCCTTTCTTAAGGAGTCTTAAGGTGGTTACTTTTTTTTAAGGTGGAGAGTAAGAGAAAGGAAGGAAACTCAAACGAGTATATTCATTTTATTTATTTTTTTTTTAAGAAGAAATAAAAATCCATCTTCTCTAGCTGTTACTGGCTTGGTTTTCTAATTAGTAGGTAGGGATAACTATGGGAGGTGACGTAAGCCATCAAATTCTGAGTCTAATGTCTTTATTTTTTTTCTTACTGTCTACTGCCAACGTGGACCTGAGATAACCTATAATGAAACATAGCCAATGGTTATATTACAAATAAATAAAGTGGAAGATCAAAAACAGAGGTAGGATTACTAGCTCCAAGCCTCTTTGCACACTGTATATTGGGAGAGATGACTGGTGGGACCAAGGAAGAAAACATTACCCAGCAGAGCTATCATTACAGCTCTGAGTTTCCTGGCAGTTCATGGAAAAAGGGAGACATCTCAGGCCATAGGAAGAGGGACTTACCCTTGGCACCTGGAACAACTGACCATTCTGTTCCTTAGGCAAGAAGACAAGTTACCAGATAGCAGAGGGCAGTTATAACTTCCGCCGAAATACTCAAACCCCAGCAGAGGAAGAACAGGGTTGGGGTGGAGTTCGTCGGAGCTTGACCTGACATAGATGCCCACCTGCTACCCAGACCTGCTAACTCCGTGTGAGACTTAGCAGGGGAGCCAGCAGGAAACTGCCAAATGACACTGATATGGAGGCTTTCACAGGACAGCCCCACAAGTCATGCCGCTAACCTGCTTGTCTTTGTAGAGATGCCCAAGGTAAGGAAATCCCCCTTCCCCAGTCTCTTGGTGAGCTCATAGACCTGGTCTGAAATCTGTAGCTTTTTAAAATTTCGTGAAGTCAGCAGGGGGCGTAAACCCTTCAAGCGGATGAAAGCCAAACCGACTAGTTGCTCTTACTCTGCCCAGGCGATGCCCAGGTGATAGAAAGAGGTACGTGCACTTGCAGAATTTGTAGCAATTGGAAGGCTGACATAGTAAGAATGATTTTGGTTGAAGGAATAGAGAGAACTCAAACTGGCATAAGCGATAAAAGGTTATATTGGTTATGAAAGTTCAGATGCAGGTCAAGATGCTGCCTTGCTGCCAGAGCACTGGAAAGGCCGCTACCCACCCATGAGGCACAGCTCTTGTCACAGAATGTAAAACTGGGCAAGACCGCTCATTTCACAGGTGAGCAAACTGAAGCCCAGAAAAAGTAGAAGGTGCCATCCAAACAACAGCATTGACTGGGCACCTCTGTGTGCCTGGTGTCTGGGGACTAGGACGTGCCCCGGCTAGATGAGGTGCAGCCCCAGCTCACCCCTCATGGCACCCAGGCACCAGGGTCTCTCACCACTGGGAGTTTGAGCAGCTCCAGCAGCTTGGTTTTACTCACACCCTCGCCCCACTAAAAGGCCTGGGCGGCCCCGGCTCTCTCATGTGTGACTTGAAGCCCTACAATCTGGAGAGCAGGCCCCATGGGGGCCCAAGAGGCGAGCCACCCCCCAGGGGGGAGAAGAGGCATCAGCGTGGGCTGGCACATGAGTCTGTTTTCCATGTGTCTGGAACCAGGCCGAAGCTTCCGGGGGTAATTTTAACCAGTATCCACTCTAGAACAATACCAAAAAAGGTAAGATACTTACCACCCCAGACAGGCACATACCTAAACATTGCCTTCTCATGAATTAGCCCCTTAAAGCATTCAGGACTAAGTCGGCTTTAAGCACTGAACTGAAAGCAGCCACGCAAAGTATTCCTACTCCGGCTGTTGGTCCTTTCCCTGAAATTAACTCTACAGTGCAGTTATCCTTGCCCTCAGAAAACAGCCTGAGCCCCTCAGCTGTCTTGGGGAAGAGGAAGTATTTTTAGATTCTAGAACAGCTGATTTAGTGTTTGCTGCAAAGGGACAGGGGAGGATTGAATTGCAAGGGGCTGGTGTGGGGGTGGGGGCTAGTCAGGAGTCACAGGGATTTTGGACAAGTGAGTCCCACTGCCTTTTAGCTCTGTGTGCCTTAACAGAAGGCAGTGGCTCTCAGTGGAGCTCCTGGGTCCCTGGGGAACACTGCATTAGAAATGAAAAACAACCATTACAGAGAAATGCAAAGTCACCCACTTGGAACCTACTGAATTGGAACCCCCTGGTGTGGGGCCCTGAAGCCTGGGCTTGGATGAGCAGTGTGGTGCTGGCTGCGGTTTGAGAATCACTGATATCTAAGAATCTCCTTGCCGTAAAGGTGGGGAGGAGAATGATCTTAGTTGATGTTCTCAACGTCGGAGTGTATCACAAAGTCAAGGACCTTGCAGCCCAGAAAAAGGCATATTTGGCATGAAAATGTCAGAGGTTTGGGTACAACAGGTTAAAAGCTCAGCACTACGAAGCTATCTATAGCCACTGCAGCATGAGTTCGATCCCCAGCCAGGGAGCTGACCCACAGGGCACAGCAGACCTCTCCTGACCAGCCTACTGCTCCCCTCAACAGTGTACTTTGTCAGTTGGCCTGTTCTGCTCCCCACTCTGTCTCTGCCTCACCCCCACCCCCTGCACCTCTGCCTATACTCCAGTTCTGTATGCATCAATAAATAAATCTTTAAAAAAGAAAATGTCAAGCCCTCCCTGGTGGTGCAGTGGGTTAAAGCACAGGACTGAGAAGCTAAAGCCACTTCAGCATGTGTTTGATCCCTGCCCCCCCCGGAGGAGATCCACATGGCACGGCAGACCTCTCCTGACCTGCCCGCTGCTCCCCTCAGCAGTGTACTTTGCCAGTCGGCCTGTTCTGCTCCCCACTCTGTCTCTGGTGAATCCTCTCACCACCCCTGCGCCTCTGGTCTGTACCCCAGTTCTGTATGCACAAATAAATAAATCTTTATAAAAAGAAAAGAAAAGAAAATGTCAAAGGTTCAATGGCCCTGGTTAGAACCCCCACTCTTTGGCTCTTTATTGGTTGGTGAATGCTCTGTGGTAGATGAATGAAATACCCTATCTCAGTGCCCGACATTTATCTGAAATCTTCCTCCCAGGAGCCGCCTCCCACTCTCGTATTGGCTTGAGAGCCGCAAGGAGCAAACCCAACATTCTGCTTTACAAAACATAGCGTTTACTTTTCATTGGCCTGACTTGGCCTGTGGGGGCAGGGGGGCCCCAGCCTGGGCCCTCAGAAGATGCAGGTACAGCCCACGGCGATGGTCTCCATGACGGCGCGCTGGCGGCAGGGCCCGGAGCGGGGCGGCAGCGGACACAGGCGGCGGCGAACGGGCACCTGGCTGAACACAGGCACGCTCACCATGCTGCGGTCCTCCTGCATGGTGAAGGGGTTGACGCAGCCCAGACACAGGCACCGAGCCTCCGGCAGGTCCGCGGGAATGCGGCTGGGGTCGTGGTTGATGCTGTGGGGAGGCAGGAGAGAGCGCTGCGCTGGAGGGCAGTGGAGAAAGGGCATGTCCGTGCCAGGCCGCACAGCCCTGCCTCTCCTAGCCCGGGCTTCACGTCACACCAAGACTGTGCAAGTGGGTCTGCTAATCCGGGGTGGCTTATCCAGCCTCCATCCTAAGGGCCCAATCCCATGAGGCAACGTTCACATCAATTAAGAGCATAAAGATAAACCACTCTGGGGGGAGGGCGGTGTGCTCCACGAGGCATGCCCGGGAACGCCCAGGGGCCCGTTGACTGATAATGAAGGACCCCAGAAGCTGGCCAGTGGGACGCCTTATTGATAAGATTGAAATCCTGACCGGAAGAGTCAGGGATGTTCTACATACCAAACTACCAGCAGATGCACAGTTCCACCTTTTGCCCAGCTTGTTCTAATTTCCCCTTTTTTTTTTAGATTTATTTATCTATTTATCCATACAGAACTGAGGTACAGGCCAGAGATGAAGAGGCTGTGAGAGGCTTCACCAGGGACAGAGTGGGGAGCAGAACAGGCAGATCAACGAAGTACACTGCTGAGGGGAGCAGCAGGCGGGTCAGGAGAGGTCTGCCGCGCCATGTGGTCACCTCCCGGGCAGGGGGGAATGGAACTCATGCGGAAGTGGCTTTAGCTTCTCAGTGCTGTGCTTTAACCACTGCACCACCAGGGAGGGCCCCTCCCTTTCTTTTTTACTTCCTCACATGATTAATGCTCTATGATTAGTCTACCCATAAAAAGTCCAGGTCTTGCTCTTCAGCAGCGTCCTGCATTATGTAGCCTGCTCTATGACTCCTGTTTCTTTGTCAGTGTGGTGTTACCCCATGCAACATGTGCTGGGCTGCAGGAAGGGCCCAGCTGGCAACAACGTGTTCCAAGTGAGGAAGCCAAAGATGCTGGAAGTCAAGATTCGGCCCAAGGTTCTCTATCGCCCAGTTTCCTGCTCTCACCCAGCATGACTGCCATAGAGGGCAGAACTGTGCTATGGGGTCACGACTGAAGCCTAAGGCCTCCACCCGACCTCCTCCCACACACCCTACCCCCACCCCCATTTATATCCTTAGGAATAAACTTAACCCATGGGAAATAACAGGTGAGCACGCTAATGCCAGTGTCTTCTGGAAGAAGAGTTGGGAAGCCCTGAGATCTGTTCTGACTCCGTTTCTAGTCATTCAACAAATGTTTTCCACACAGCCACGAGGGAGGGAGTCTGCCCTGGACCTTGAACGGTGACTGATGCAGCACACCAGTCTCCACCACACGCCCAGGGCACAGGGCTGGCTTTGTGAGCCCTACTTCCTGTGCCCCGCCCCCTCATCTGCTGAAGGAGGAATGGCCTCGCCCTGGGCTCTCCAGGCCTGCAGGGTCTGATCCCTGCCCAGGTTTCCTGAGCAGGGCCTGTATTTTGGGGAGCTCCCCACAGCCCGGGAAGTCCAGATGGCAGTGAAGTGAGAAGCCCAAATTCAGACTGCACAGACCCTTCCATTCCATTCCAGACACACCCCCACCAGCCAGCTCCTTACAGTTAAATTCATCCAAAACTAGCCCCTCGGTCTCCATGGCCAAATGGCAAGGGTTCAGTCCCTATGTGAAACTGGTGGCCGCCATGTTGGATGTGACACCATCATAAAAAGCTCAGTTGAACAGGGCTAAACTTATTTGTCCTGGTTGTAAGTAAGACTCCCTCCCTGGTGGGTGTGTGAAAAATATGTGTTGAGTGACTAGAAATGGAGTCAGAACAGACCTCAGGGCTTCCCGACTCTTCTTCAGAAGACACCGGCATTAGCGTGCTCACCTGTTATTTGCCATGGGTTAAGTTTCCTAAGGATATAAATGGGGGTGGGGGTAGGGTGTGTGGGAGAAGGTAGAGCTGGAGGGGCCGGTGCCTTAGTCTTTTGTCGTGATCCCACAACACAGTTCTGCCCTCAACCCGTGGCCACACACACTTGTCCTCTTCTGTGTGCCAGCTGCTGTGCTAGGAAGTGGAGTCCTAGCAAAGGGACACCCCACTGTCACCCCTGGAGATTTTGGTTGGATGCAGCATGAGAATCCTACAATGATTCTGATGTAGCCAAGCAGGAGGTCCCACCAGGGGTGAGAGATGGATGTGCTCCAGAAAGGGCCATGACTGAGAGAGAGGTGTGTGCCAGGCTCCAAGCTGGAGGAAGCCTGGGCCCGAGGGCACACCAGCAGAAACTTGGATAATAGCAGTGGCTATGCTCATGGATCCCTCATGGATCCCTCATGGATCCATGGATCCCTCATTTAATAACATCCTGGGGAGTGGATGCTACTGCTACCGCCATTCACAATTGAAGAAACTGAGGCTTGGAGAGGCAAAGTGACTTGTCCAAATCCAGGCAACCAGGAGAGGATGAACCAGGATTCAAACCCAAGTGCTCACTCCCCAAAGGCCAAGGCTTAACAGTTACAATGATAGGGACGGTGTGTCAGCCACCCCCTCCCCGCCAACATGCAGCTTGCCCAAGCACAGCCTACCTGTAGCCCCAGGGAGACAGGCTCCTCTTGTTTGACAGCCACAGCTGCAAGTTGACCTCACACTTCTTCCTGGTCGGCTCTGTGCTGTTCCTCAGCTGGGCCACCATCTCCCCAAGATTCCGCTCATATTCCTCCATGCGGGCATATGGCTTCACCCGTGACACCAGGTCGAGAGGCATCTGGTGAGGCCCGGGGGCCAGTGTCCCAGGCCGTCCTTGCCCCTTTCTCTTGCCTTTGGGGCTCTTGGGCTGGCCCAGCCCCAGGAAGATGGAGATGGTGAGAAGGAACAGCTGAGGATGGAGGCCACAGGTCAAACGTGAGAGGGCCAGGGTTCTCTCTGGGCCAAGACTTAGGGCCCAGGGAGGAGAGAGGGAAGAGGAAATGCCTCCATGGGGCGTCCCCTCTGTCACCCCTGACCTGACCTGGTATCACCAGGCCACGACATACCACACACATACATGTATGGGCCCCCATATGTACCGCACTCATCATGAAGTGTTGTCTCTTGCGCCTCTTAAAAATTTCCCCAACCATCCACTTCTACCTGTACCACCATCCTCACTTTCTTGGACAGCTCAGGTCTCCTACCTGATCTCCCCCAGTTCCCTTGACTCCTTCCAATCAGCTAGTCACTTGATAAGCAAATTTGACAGCTACCTTCCTGCGTCTCAGCTTGGCCCTAATCACTCCTGACTTGCACTTCAGCCTCTGGCCTATCTCCTCCTCTCCCCATGCTTCTTCCTGCCATAGGGACTTTGCACAGACTGCTGCCTGCACAATCCTGCCTCCCTGGATCCCCTAAATGCCTCTGGTCCCTCGGGCCACCTCCCAGTGTCACTACCCAGGAACTTCTGGGCCTCACACCATCCCACGTATGACTGCAGGCTCAGTTTGTATGGGTAGGTCACTACGCTCTGATCCCTGCTAAGCAGACTCGTGAGGACAGGCATCAGCACCTCACCCTGGCCTCCTCCCCTGTGTGCAGGTGCCTGGTGCTGAGCTAGTCACCAAACACTGGTCGAGTGGCCAATTAGCGGCACTGCCCCCACCCTTCTCCAGCCTGCGGTCGAGAGGGAGAGCAGACAGTGAACACGACAACAAATCAGCTCACTCAAAACAAGGCCAACAACAGACTGTGCAGGGCGTGGTTGAGAAGATCAGGCCACCCCAGGGGAAGGAGACATGTCAGGTGAGTTTGAAGGCTAGAAGGAGCCAGAAGGAGTCTAAAAGCCTAACTGGTAGCTGAAACAGTGTGAGGGGAGGTTCAGCTGTGCTGAAAGGAGACAGTGAAGCTGGACTTGAGTGGGCAGGAGGAAAGGCAGGGCCGAGACTGGGGAGATGAGCAGGATCCCTGCTAGATTCCATCTCTGTGACACCTGCACCCCCCCCACCCCCGCTCCACACCCCAACCCCAGTCCATTCCTCCCCTCTCCTAGCCACCCTCACCTACCACCGTCAGTTTCTCCTCCCCTCAACTCCATAACCCAGAACCAGAAGCAATGGGCCTGGGGAGCCAGCAGAATCCACACTGTGTGAGGCCCAGGGCTGACCAGAAGGGAGAAATCTTCAGAGGTAGTTTCATCTCTTCCCAGAGTCTACCCAAGCTCCTACCTGCCCTGTTCCCTCATCCCACAGCCTGCTTGGCCTGTGCCTGATTTTTCCAGACTACGCAGCAAGTCTTGACCCTTGAAAACAAGTTTCAGCGTAACCCCTCTTGGCAGGGCCATTTGCTGGCACAAAATTCACAAGCTATTCAAGTCGCTAAAGTTTTCCTTTTTGGTCCAACATTCTGCTTCAGAAATTATTCCCCCTAACAAAAGGCCTTCTCATCTGAGCGTCTCACGTAGCATTCTTAAACTCAGGTTCCCCTCATAGAGAAATCCAAGAACTCCTTTCAAAGTCCCCCGCCCCCACTTCCAAGATGAGAAACAGAAGGACTTGCCCAAGGTCACAAGGCCTGGATCGCAGGGCCCAGGGATGCTTTGGAAAAACCCCGAGAAGTGAGTTTGCCAGGATCTCCCCAGATGCCTCTGGCCTGAAAGGGCTCCAGTGTCGAGGGCCGACTGGGCCCAGCCTGAGCTGTGACCCTGCCTGCAGCCTCTGAGACCCGGCTGTTTCGTCCCCCTGCTGGGGAGGAGGACGGAGGGAGAACTCACTCTGCAGACTCCAAGCCAAACAGAGGCAGCCATGAATCAATAGGAAAGAAGTCCCGGACACTCAGGCCCTAAAAGGGGGTGGGCTGGGGGTGGGGGATCACCACGTACCAGGCTGTGTGGCCAGTCCATCCCGAGAGCAGGGCAGCCGGCCTGCAGCTGCCACCCGCCTGGAACCCCAGAGGCCTCCGCCAAGAGAATGGCAGCGACAGGATGGAGCGAAGCAATTATAGCTCGTCAAGGGGCTGCTGGGGGAGTGGGTGGGTGGGCTCGTCATCAGCTGGAGGCTTGGGCCCCCAGCTGGCTGGGCCTGGCGCACAGGCAGGCGGCGAGGACCGTGGGGGCAGGCCAGGAGCGGGCCAGGGCAGGCCAGGGCACAGTCCAGACACAGTCCAGACGCGGGCCAGGCGTGGGCCAGGGCAGGCCAGGAGCGGGCCAAGGTGCCCAGGGGCTGTTGACTGAGGGACAATGCCCTGTGTGTCTGGTGGGGCTCTGGAGGGTGGCACCCCCCGCCTGTGGCCTGCGGCCGGCCGCCCGGCCAGCACCCACAGGGCCGGCTGAGACAATCAGCTTCGTTGGCGTTGGGGATGGCAAGGGGGCGAGGGTGGAGGGGGACAGGCTGTCCGTTGGTCTGGAGAGCAAATGTACTCAGAGTGTGCTGGCCAGGAGCAGGAGAGAAGCCCCATCTCCCAGGGAAACAGCTCAAGGCACCCCCACCTCAGCCAGCCTCAGGTGAGCTCGACAGCACTCAGCGACCAGAGGCCACCTCCTTACAGCACAGGCAGGGCAACTGAGGCCAGAGTGAGGAAGGGAATTGTCTGGGATGACACAAAGAATTTAAAAACGACAGCGTGGTGCCTACTCGGCCCTGTGTGGGGCCCTCCCCACCTCCCCTGCTGTTTACTTGACCTATCAGTCATTCAGCCACAGCCGCTAGGGACATGCCTCTGAACCTGGGCTCTTACGTGGCAGGCCTCAGAGCCCAGCCTTGCCAAGGCAACTACCTGCTCCGGGAAGGAAGGTCCCACTCTCTTCTGCCCTGTGTCCCTGCCACTGACTTTCATTCTCTCTGAGCCTCAGTTTCTCCTGCAAAAGGTGAGTCCTGCCCAGGAATGAACGCTGATCTGGCCCATTTGTTCCTGAAATCTTTCAGAGTCTCAGTCCCCACACCTTTAGAATGGGTTGTCGTTGCAAGAATCATGTTAAACAGCTGATACCTGGCCTGTAAGTGCTCAACAAACACTTAACTGCACTATTATAAAAAGAATATTATAAAATGACTGTCTAATTATTACTAGAAATAGTCACTGCTCTGATTAGCCTTAGAACAGCCCAGTTCTCTGGCTCAGCTGACACTCTCCTACCCCCTCGGCCCACCCTCTGGGTGGAGAGGCCCAGGGCAGAGAGGAGAGGACAGCCATTCAACCTGAGACCACACACTGTCTTGCCGAAGGCCCCTCACGGTCATTTACGGGGCTCGCTGGAGGGGAAGATCACCGGTGTGAGGCACTCCTGAATGTCACAAGATTAATCTATCCGGGGCAGGTTTCCACAGCATAACCGAGGAGCTGGCTGGGCTGGAGCTCACTCTTGGAGAGATACCACCATATTTGGTCAAATATTAGACAGGGCTCTATTCTATCGCTGGAAACTCCACAGGGAGGGGGATTCTGAAAATACTTCCCTAGGCAACCAGGGCCCCCACTCCCACCCCAGGCTGTCTGCCCCCACCAACCTCTGTCCTTTGAATGAGGGAAGCAGCCAGCATGAAGGGGTGAAGGACATGGCAGCTGGTTATACCTTGCACGGGCCCCATGTCACCCCTGCTGCTGCTGCCAATGGGCCTAAAAGACACACAAGTGGGTGGCCCTTCCTGAACCCACAGAAAATTGTGAACTGGAGTGGAGGGGTTCCTCATCCTCAGAACTTCTGGAACCACCTCACTCTCCTTACCTGCGGGCAATCCATGCCCAGAGCTTCTGTCTCCCAAACACAAGGCTGCCCTTACTTCAGGGACAGTGAACAAAAAAAGCCAGGGTCCCCACTGGGTATATGTACTTTAATAAGCAGCTATACAGAGAGCTACAGGGGTCACGCTCCCTCTCGCCTCTTCCCCCTTTTTACTACAAGGACATCAAAGCCCAGAGAAGGACAGCCTTTCCCCCTAGCTAACACAGCATGTCTGTGCCAGAGCTGGGTAAGGCTGGCTAAGCCCAGTTCATTTCCCACTGCTCTTCCCCCAAACCTCAGACCAACAGCTCTGGGCCAAACTGGGCCTCTGCTGGTCAGGAGGTCAAAGAGAAGGGTCATTCTTGGAGGTTGGGGGAATACCCCTCCCAATGAGGAGAGCTAGCCATGGGCACCACAGTAGGTGCTGCGGGGAATCTAGGATGGGACAAGTTACTGCCAGTGAATTTCCTACTTCTGGGCCATGTCACACCAAGAGGGAGGCCCCGTTCTCCAGTCACAGTTTCTGGAAAATTCTGAAGAATGATCTGGCCTAAGGGATATCCTGAAGGTGAGCCCTGGCCCCATGGGTCACGGCTAGGCTAAAGAGGGGGCATAAGGAAATTGGCTTCAGGGGTGTCTACCCCATAGCAAAGCTGGGGGTCTTGTTCTTTCCCCACACAAGTATGAGGGGAGGGTGAGGGGGTGGTGCCTCTGGGGGCCCTTAGAACCCTCAGGAGCGGCAGTCCAGGAGCAGCCTCGCACTTGCCACCAGGTGGCGCCACCAGAAAGCCAGATGCTCAGAAAGCACAAGGACCAGAGCCACCTCCAAACAGACACCCCTTTTTCCTGTATGGCCCTTGGGGCTGAAAACAAGGGCCGAGTAAGTGGAAAGGGCCCTGTATTGCTCCTGCTGCCCAAGCAACTCTACTGATGAAGACCTCCAGCATGGCGGAGTGAAGGGCAGTCACCTGAGGAGACAATTTCCACCCCAAAGCAGGAAGGGCAGAACTGTGGGGGCGGAGGGGTGGCAGGGCCAGGGTAAGCACCCTCCTGCCACGTGAGTGAGGCCTTCCGTGTCATGCACCTACCCTGTGCGAAGCCTAGGCTTTTGCACTCGGACGTGATCAGTTTTGGGAAATAATAATTAGTCGTAACAATAGTGGCTGTTTGGTACCTGCGTGCTGATGCCAGGCACTGCACTGGCTCCCTTGTGCACATTATCTCAGTCAATCCTTCCAGCCACCCTGGGGTGATATCCTAAATCCCAAAACTACGAAGGGCAAAACTGAGGCTCAGAGATCTTAGTCACTTTTCCCGAGTCACAGAGGATTCAAAGCTTGCTGTTGCTGGTGGTGGGGGAAGAAGAGGGGAAAGCCAGCTGCTCACAGAGAAGGGACTGGCTGCCTCAGTGTCTCCCCACATCCTCACCCTGCATATGGAAAAGCTCACCGGGTCTAAGTTCATACTAGCGCCCTCCAGGGGGTCTGAGGACTCTGGGGTGTGGGCCCTGCTCCCAGCAAGTTTCTGGCACATAGTAGGCACTGAATCAAATGCACTGTACGTAATGCCAAGTGAGGGTGCAGGGTGGACAGTGGGGGTTCAGAGCAGTGGAGAAGGTGGGTAGGGCTACAGCCCAAGAGGTGAAAGAGCATAGTCCAGAGGCTGAGGGTTGAGCCTCAACCCTCCCCATATCTGTGTGTAGTTATATGACCTTGGGAAAGTTACTTGACTTCCCTGAGCTCTAGTTTCTCTTGCACAGTGGAGATCATAAGATTTAGATTTCAGTGGATGGTGTGAGGATTGAACGAGGTCAGTGCACATTAAAGCACTTAACACAGTACCTGAGAAAAGTAAGAGCTCACTGGACGGCAGCCGCAGTGGTCAATGGCAGCTCTTACTGTTAAAGCAATTTTGAATTGGGCCTGCACAGTGTTTCTGGGGTGTTCCTACGTAGGAAAGGCATGTGCTGTGGAAGGAGGATAGAAGCAGCAGAACACAGACAGACTCTTGGAGCCTCAGCTGGGCTGGGGAGACTGAGAGATCTAGGCTCAAGAGCTGCTGCAGGAACCGAGGGAGGCCAGGCCTCCAGGAGCCTCCTCGCAGACACCTCTGCTGCACCATGGAGTGCCCTGCCAGGAAGGCGCACCCGCCCCGGGAGGTCTTGGCGCTCCTGCGGAGTGCCCACCCTGCCCCCGCCCTCACCCCCAGGCAGGAATCCTTCTCCCAGGCCCATATTTGCACAAATGCCTGCCTTACTGCTCACTCCGCAGCTCCAGCCAAGAGGCACTATTTTAAGCTCCCTGGACTGGAACACTGTTGGTGGGAACAAACCCAGCCAGCAAGCTCCTGGTTCTCAAAAAAGGGAAAGGCCCTGGTGAATGGGCCGCCCGAGGGACAAGCGGGGAGCCGCCATACACACATGCCCCTCTGCCCAGGCCAGGTACCCACCCCTCCCCAGGGGGCCAAATAGGGGGAGGTGGGGGTGGGGCTCCCCGCGATGGGTCTGTGCTCTGGGACTGAGTGACGGAACAGCCAGGCTTAGAGATGCCAGGCCCCAATTTCTGGGTCGCCTGCTGAGTCTACTCAGCCCCCGTGGGGATTATCAGGGCTGGGTGACGCCTTGCCCATGGCCGCCAGCCCAAGAACCCCTTCTCTATATGCAAGGAGACCACCTCTCTCTGAGGATGCACACCCCACATTTTAAAAGCTCTAGCTGTTGAAAATAATCATTACAATTACAAATGTTTTCTCTTCCTGCTGAAGTCTCCTCTCCTCGTAAACTTCAGAAATAGTGTTAGTATTCTTGTTTTTCCCTTTCGACATGAACTTGGCCACTTTTCCTCACCTTAAAGACTCTCAGTTTCGCGGTAGGGTTTTATCATAAAAATGGATTTATCATAAAAATGATGATTTGCCTGGCACATTCATATTGGCGAGTTTGGGTTATTTTTACTGTCACTTGGTTTTGCTTTGTGTGAGCCTCTGTCTGTTGGGTGGTATTTTTGTGGGTGTATGTGCTATTTTTGCCTGTGATTATGAAGAGCCAGTAAGATTTAAAACACGGACTTTGAACCAGAGTAACCCCAGCCTCTCCACCAAAGAGCTGGGTCACCGTGAGCAAGTGACCAGACCTCTCTGAGCCCCCATGACCTCCTTGAGAAGGGGGATTTAAAGAGATAAAAGAGGCGCTATTCAATGAAAGGCCCCGCTATTCTTTTATTATACTCATTGTTCTTAGTTCTGCCCACACATACAATGATTCTAA